TGGTGGTGATGGTGATGGTGGTGATGATGGTTGTGATGGTGGTGATGGTGGTGATGGCGGTGGTGATGGTGGTGATGGTGGTGATGGTGGTGATGATGATGGTGATGGTGGTGATGATGGTTGTGATGGTGGTGATGGTGGTGATGGCGGTGGTGATGGTGGTGATGGTGGTGATGGTGGTGATGATGATGGTGATGGTGGTGATGGTGGTGGTGGTGGTGGTGATGGTGGTGATGGCGGTGGTGATGATGATGATGGTGGTGATGGTGGTGATGATGATGGTGATGGTTGTGATGATGATGGTGATGATGGTGTTGGTGATGGTGGTGATGGTGGTGATGATGGTGATGATGATGGTGATGGTGGTGATGATGGTTGTGATGGTGGTGATGGTGGTGATGGCGGTGGTGATGGTGGTGATGGTGGTGATGGTGGTGATGATGATGGTGATGATGGTGGTGATGGTGGTGGTGATGGTGGTGATGGTGGTGGTGATGGTGGTGATGGTGGTGGTGATGGTGGTGATGGTGGTGGTGATGGTGGTGATGGTGGTGGTGATGGTGGTGATGGTGGTGGTGATGGTGGTGATGGTGGTGGTGATGGTGGTGATGGTGGTGGTGATGGTGGTGATGGTGGTGGTGATGGTGGTGATGGTGGTGGTGATGGTGGTGATGGTGGTGGTGATGGTGGTGATGGTGGTGGTGATGGTGGTGATGGTGGTGTTCTAAAATAGGAAGCACAAGTCTGTAGATACATCCTATTTGTTGTCTGAAAACAAAACGTGTTTTCTACTGATTAAACAGAATGACAAGTGCTGTTTAGCATGAAGTTCCTGAAACCAGTCCAATCAGTATCCCGTTAACAGGACGAAGACCTCAGCAGGGTTCCTCCGCTGAATGCACTGATGGCTGAGATGAATCTAAGGACCTCATCCCATTCAAATTCAACATTTAGTCATTCACTTAGGACATATGTATATATTTGCATATGGATTCCTTTGTAATTATCTACCAGTTTATTTTATAATAATTTATCAGTGGATTTAGAATGACACAGGGAAGAATGGTGACACGGTCCAGATGCTCCAGCATTCAAAACACAGTTCCGCTGTCTCTGCCTGTCTGGTTTACTAGACTGGCCTCCTAAGTGGGGCATATGTCACCAGGGAGGGTCCGCAGTGGACTTTTGGGGAGTGTGAAGGAAACGTTAGTACACATTTCTATTTACTCCATTTCTTATGGTCTGAATGTTCGTGTTCCCCCAAAATTCACAGGTTGAAATCCTGACACCCAATGAGATGGTATTAGGAGGTGGGGCCTTTGGGCAGCTATTAGGTCAGGAGGGTGAAGCGCTCATTAATGGGGTTAGTGTCCTTCTCAGGACAGACATGAAAGCTTGCTTGCTCTCTGTGCTCTGCCACGTGAGAATACAATGAGAAGACAGCCATCTGTAAACCAGGAAGTGAGCCCTCACCAGACACTGGACCTGCCAGCACCCTGATCTTGAACTTCCCAGCCTCTGGAACTGAGAAATAAATGCTTGCTGTTTAAGCACCCACCCCCACCCCCACCCCCAGTCAATGGAATTTGCTATAACAGTCCAAACTATGACACCATTCTTTTAAAATTTATAGTTTACATATATTTTTAAATATACTTTAATAAGATTGGATGCATACAAAATGGTAGAGATAGGAAGAATAAGATCTAGCATTCTTTAGCAATATAGGGAGACTACAGCCAACAACAAGTTACTGTATAACTTCAAGTTGCTAGTTGAGAAGACGTTGAATGTTCCCAACACAAAGAGGTGACAAATATTCAAGGTGATGGATATGCTAAAAACCCTGATATGGTCATTGCACACTGTATAAATGTACCCAAATATCATATTGTATTCCATAAATGTATATATAATTATCATGAGTCAATTAAGGAAAAGTAAATTACAAAGAAAAAAACATTTTTAGAGACAGAAGTAGATTAGAAAATACATTAAGGAAAAGTAAATTACAAAGAAAAAAACATTTTTAGAGACAGAAGTAGATTAGAAATTACCAGGAATGGGGGGAAGGAATAATGAGAAGTATGTTTAGGATGACAAAAATGTTTTGGAAATAGAGGTAGTGATTGCACGGCATTGTTTAAAAATGCTTAAAACAGCAATTCTATACCAGGAATGGGGGGAAGGAATAATGAGAAGTATGTTTAGGATGACAAAAAAGTTTTGGAAATAGAGGTAGTGATTGCACGGCATTGTTTAAAAATGCTTAAAACAGCAATTCTTATGTAATATATGTTTTACCACAATATCAAAAAATGCAAAAAAAAGAAAAAGGCCCACCAGACATTCAATTAACCCAGCTGTCACACATCTGTTGCTGTCTCCATAAGTGTGGCAGTTTGCTGGTCATTACTCTACTGATAATAATCAAAAACTTCACACTTCAAAAAAAATTTTTTAAAAAATTGGACACATGTATAAAAGTATCTATCATATATTAAATGTTATAGAAAAACATATATACTGGTTATCAATGTATATAATTTATAAATAAATAAATGAATATATTGAAGTATGCTTTAAAATCATTTACTGGTAGCAGTGCCACATCAAAATAGTTTAGAGACTTATTCTAAATAACATCACTTCTCACATTCTGGTTATCTGAAATACGTGTTTTGGAGAAGAACCATTCTAACTAGCAGGTTCAAGGGCAAGTACACAATCAGAACTATCAGCTCAATTCTTGCAAACTCTTTTTCTCCTACAAAGTGCTGCTTCTAAGA